AGTTTATTTTTATTCAGCACTGTATAAGTATTTTATTAGCCAATTAAGAGATTTATAAAAAGAAATTTATAATAAATATATCTCATTGGCAATTGGCAATAATATATGTTAAAACAGTTATTTAGAATACTTTTACTCACTGCTTAAATCAAAATCTGAATTAAAAATATAAAAAATTATAATTTAGTTTTATATTAATTATATTTTTAATACTTACATATATAGTTTTTTTTTAATGATATTAGATGCTTGCTTTTAAATTTGATCTCTTTGAACTATTAGATAATAATTCACTGTATCTTCTACAAGATTTCGTATTAATTCTTTTAGATGAAAGTTAATAGCATATATTACAAAAACTTATTAATATTTTAATACCTTATAGTATTATCAATGATCTTCTTCAAAAAGACAAGGCCTATTTACATGAAGTCTTACATAGGTTTGGTTATTTTGTAAGATTTTGGAAAAGTTATGAAGATTCAGAATTAGGACAACAAATATTAGATCGATTAGAGTTAAGATAGAAAAAATAGGAACAACTACTCCTTCTTTTGTCTTGGCTTCTTTATTCTGAATATCAAATGACAAAATTCAAATCTAATATAACTAATCTTAATTACATATATCTTAGTAAATAGCTTATATATTATTATAAAACTTGGTCACATAATAAATTCTAGTTAATTTTATATAAATATGAGAATTTTTGAATAAGTATTTTTCCTTTTGATAAATAGTTAATCAGTTAATTTAAAAAAGAAATTTTTTAATTTTGGTCTTGAGCTGCACTAAGTATAAAAGAATTTGCTTTTGTAGTATAAAGAATATTTAAAATCTGTGTAAATACAGCTTTAATAGAATGTTTATAGTTATATATAGGTTTTTTTTATACTAATTGATGAGTTCAATTATATATAAGTATAATATGAATACTGCTAAGAAAAAACTAGTACTGCTTACTTCACCAATAGTTATTTTATTAAAAGTTTATTTAGCAGATATCATATGAGTTTAGAGTTAGGGTTTTATTAGTTTCAGGTATATATTTTTAGTAAATTGTTACTTAAAATAATATCAGCTAAATGAGCTATCGATGAAAT